TAATAAGATTGCAGCAGTATTAGAAAACAATTTGTGTTTAAAGTATTCTAAAGGAATTGTATTTTTCAGTAATATATAAAATTCAGTAATTTACAAGTTGATATAAGGAACTTTATTACAAAATAACATATCAGAAGGATTTACGCTCAATAGGTGGCAACCAACTCAGGCTGATGTTGCAGTACTTGAGGCACTAGGGAAAGCACCAACATCTTTGAATCCTCATGTACTTCGTTGGTATAATCACATAAAATCATATGATTTGAAATCACTTCCTGGAGAAAAGAAAACGCCTGCCATTCTCAGTGCTGATGCCCCAGCTTCGTCCACAGGAAAAGCAAACGACGATGATGACGACTTAGATCTATTTGGTTCAGATGAGGAAGAGGATGCAGAAGCTGCAAAAATCAGGGAAGAAAGGTTAAAGGCATACGCGGAGAAGAAATCAAAAAAGCCCACAGTTATTGCCAAGTCGAGTATTGTTCTGGACGTGAAGAGTTGGGGAGATGAAACCGATATGAAAGAAATGGAAAACGCAGTGAGATCGATTCAAATGGATGGTCTGGTTTGGGGTGCATGTAAGTTGTATATTTTATTGCTCTATTGATATATCTAAATTGATATAAGTAAATTATATAATTGAGTTTTCTATTTTTAGCAAAACTTGTCCCAGTGGGCTATGGCATAAACAAGTTACAAATAATGTGTGTGATAGAAGACGAAAAAGTATCAGTGGATTTGCTGATTGAACAGATTCAAGAATTCGAGGAATTAGTTCAATCCGTAGATATTGCTTCGTTCAACAAGATCTAAGGTCAAAGATCTAAGATCAAAAACAGCTCATACTTTTAATATTGAATTAATAAATATTAATTGTTTGTATATACATAATTTGTTACTCTCTTAATATACCCGAAGGATTCCTAATGCAGTCTTGAAGAGTAATACAATTCTACTAAAGCTTCATTGTATCATATTTATTTTTTAATACCTTGCATGTATACATTAATACATTATATATATATATATACACGCGCGCACACACACACACACACACACACACACACACACACACACATATTGTCAGGCAAATCATAACATTGTGTCTAAGATATGCAACGCAAAAATAACTATTCATCTTTCATCTTCATGCGTCTTATTAGCTTTTTCATTTTATTAGCTTTTTATAAAGTCGTATATCCATAAATATCAAAATAAATAAATAAAATATAACTGAATTTATAATTTTGATGTATTAATGTAAAAGTTTTAATGCTATAATTATTACTATAAAAGAAAAATAATTTAGTCATTTTACATGTTTCATGTAAAAAATACAATATATCTTACTATGTAACAGTTACCAACTTTTAAAGTATTAATTATTTTAAAATAATTTTCCGGCATATATTTTTATATGTACACATATAATAATTATAATCACATAATTTTAAGAACTATAAACTGATATAAACTATATTATCGGCTTCAGCAAGAAAATGAAAAGTTATAATAAGAAAACAAATTAGAGATTGTTCTTTCTACTTATTATTTACAAATTACAGATATCGTAATTTCAGACAAGATTTTTACATTATTGTTTTATATAATAATATGAAGAATTTCGGACATTTTATCCATATGAGATGAATAATATGTGACCACATCAATCAATTGACTGTCATTAATTATCAGATGCATATTTATATATATAATATATCTATATGGAGAATTTTTTTTTTCATTGATTCATAATATATCAAAATTGCTTATTGCAAAAATATAAATGAATCATTTCAGGTAATAATAATATTTCAGTGGCGCAACACCTACAATGCCGAACGTTGTTACTTCACGCGCGTCTGCTGTCCATACAAACTTGTTCCCAAGGAAAAATATCAATTGTAAGACCATCGAGAAAAGAGGCGCGCCCCTAGGGCATTGACATTGAACTTGGGATCCGGTTGTCGTAGTCTTCACATTTCTTCACGTTGTAAGTTTCGAAATGAAAACGTTATTTGTTTAGAAGAGGCGTTAAGAAATTTCAAAAAGATGCAGAATTAAATTTCAAAATTTGTCCTTTTCTACTAAAATATATTATCAAATATTCTATTAAAATATACTATTATATTAAATGTTGTAGGATTAGATCTCAATATTGTTTCTTTTGTCTTCTTTTTTCTAATGCGGTTTTTTTATTGATCCGCTGCAAGATGTTCTAGTATTTCGAGATAAAATGCAGGATTTTTTTTTTAATATCTCTCGAAGTTTGTAAGTTTCGAATAGGAAAATAGAAGATACAATGTAAGAACTGTATAATATTGTATAATACTGTAAGATTCTAAAAGTATATTAAATTGTTGTTTTAATATAATTATTGATGTTGATTATAATAGTAATTATATATAGATCTGTTCTTTTTAGCTAAAGTTCTTGCACGGTTCATATTTCTTCCTTTTTTCTCCACGTTGGAGAAAAAAAAGAGAAAAAATGAACCATGCAATAAATTCAGCTAAAATGGATAAATCTGTATAGGTACATGTATTAATTTGTTAGAAATTGACTGTCATACAATATATAATAAATGTACACATAGAAGAATATAAAAAAATATTATATTCTCTATAAACTCCAATTAAGATGTTATAAGTCAATTAATATCTAAATGTAATTAGAAGATTTATAACGTGTATATGTAAATACTGCATTTGCGCGTTATTTCTAATAATTTTGAAAATTTTGTGATAAATAATAAAATAGAAGCAAATTTGTTTTTTCTTTCAGTTATTATGACATAAAAATTATATATAAGACATCTATGGAATATCTTCTAATTTTTAACGAAATATTGTTATATTCAAAATATTCTTTTTAAAATGTTCATATAAACATTCATATATTTTCAAAGTTTTTTTCAAATTTTTATATACTTATGCTATTTAAAAAATTTACTTGACGCGAATTAGAATAATTTTTAATGTAAGTATAACAAAACAAGACATTGTCCGACCTAATCGAATCTAATTTTCGGCTATTTCCAAACCCTGCGACTGTGTTTGGAATTTCGTTCCTCTTTTTCTTCTGACGCATATGGCGATGAAATTCTCGTCCTTCAGCCACGAACAGCCTTCTTCCTTTCCCCGCTCTTCCTGTCATCCGCTTGTCCTCGCCTTCATCACGCGTTACTATCGCCGTATATAAGAAAGCGATGATCAAGATTGCGTTCGAAAGCGAGGATCACCTCGATCAGCACAGTGCGCTAATAGACGTTACTTCTCACGGATCAGCAGTAACATATCTCTGAGATGTTCGTGAAAGTCTCGTGGGTCGCCGTAACAATAATCACGCTATTTTGCGTTTATACTTCCGGTGAGCTATCGATCATGTTTCTTTATTTTATTGTAGAAAAGCGATTTATGCGACTTTCCTCTAAATGACAATTATGATTTAACAGTATTATATATTATTTGTACTATGTTAGTAATTAAATATTTAAAAATTTTGTAAGAAAGTGTATACGTTAAAAAATTGTTTATTTTAGAAAGCTTTTATAACTATGAATTTTGCAATACACATTTTAAAACATTTAATAATAAAAAAAATAATGTCTTGATTTTAAACATTAAAATTTATTTTGCAAATTGACTGTTTTCCATAATTTTGTAATTTTTACATAAAGCGTTTGAAATATTTAAGTTTATTAAACTTATGTTTCGTACAAAGAGAGTAAAATTTTGTTAATAAATTTTTAATTAATTCGAAAAAAAAGCTCTAATCGGATTCGGCTATCGCTTATAAATAATTCCTGCAGTAATTCTTATCAGCCGTATATTATTAATAGCAGTCAACATCTCGTGAAATTCTTTAAAAATATTTCTAAAAATATTTATTCATGACCCTAATTTATGCGATACGTCAATCAATCTCAAGAATTTTCTTATTCCATCTCTGTAGGAAAGACTAATTTTTTCCTGTTATTATTGTGTTAACATTACAAATAACATTTATGATTTAAAATCTTATAAGAAAGGAATAATATCTAATGAATAGGATAATATATGAAATTTTTAATATGTGTGTGTGTGTGTGTGTGTGTGTGTGTGTGTGTGTGTGTGTGTGTGTGTGTGTGTGTGTGAAGATTAAAAATTGTATTTAATAATTTTTTTTTAATCTCTAATCGCGTTGTGTATATTTTCTAGCAATTATTATGTCAGCAGATAATGTTTTTGAAACGTTTTTTAAATATTTATTTAATGTAAAAATATTTAATAAATATTTAAAAAATATTTTTTTAATATTGTGTGCTAATTGATAAAACTATATTACGTGACTATAATTATATGAATTATGTCATATTGTTATAAATCCATTATAATTCTAGCTAGCTTCATATAATATTACTTGACACGGTTTTATAGAAATGTAACTTTGAAATAAAATTCAATTCAAGATTTATATATATGAGAATAAGCGTGATTGTATGCACAGAATGATTATTTTTCTTTTCTTCCTTTTAGATTTTCTCAAACTCTTCAATTTCATTTTTTATTCAAAAAAATTCAATTGGTATTCGAAACTGATCAATCTTTGCTATGATCATTTTAGTCCTAAGTAAACTAACAATAAAAAAAGAAGAGATGATCGTTTTACATGCAATATCCACTCATAAGATATTGGCCTTGAATTAAATTATACAGTTTTATTAACTAATCGATTATAACGATAAAAGATCTAGCGGTATTGATTACAGTATCCGTGATTAATGATTAAACAGATTAAGATATAGAAAGGCCCTGACTTCGTTAAACAAGTCGTTTCAGGCCGCTCCCAACCAGTTGGAGTTACAGAGATGATCCGTTTATAATCTGACTCAGAAAATGCGGACCGTTAGCTGAACCAAGTTCTGCATTAACCCATTGTCATAAACTAATTTAAAATACAATTTGATACGATTACCCTTGGCATATTATTTTGATGAAGTTTATTCATATATATTCTCTCTCATAATTATATATATATATTTCAAATCGAATGCAGAAATATTGTATTAATTTATATAGAATGTATAAAATTTGTGATTATACATATTGCAAATGTTCAATATACAGATACATTTGTAATTCATATAATCCGTATTATGACAGATATTAAAATATGGAATATTATCAAGTGGACAGATTTTTGCGAATAATATATATAATTCATATATATAATTTAATAATACTGGACAGACACTTTTAAGTTCTAGACTATCATTCAATACTAATCATTCAACCTACGGTTCGCCTGAAAATCATATTTTCTATTTTATGTAAACGAACTAAATTATGAAGTCCGTAAGATTTTATCTATTTCTGAAAATGGTCCTCTAAAAATGATCATTAAAAAAAGCTGAACATTGTTGTTATGGATGATTGATTTTAGTTTAAATAATTCATTCACTCAACAATTTTAGATAATCTGTTATAATTATAACAAAGAAAAGATAACAAAGAAACGAATAAAGAATCATGAATCGAATGAAAGAAAGGTTTCTACTATAGTTGCTATGGCCATCTCTGAACGAGTTGTAGTTTAAATTCATAAGCCTCTCGTGCGTTTGAGTTATATTTTTAACCATGACGCTGCAAAACAACCGTGCGTATGATACATATGATCACAATGTTGCGAGATATATGTATATATAAGTGGTATCACACCGAAAATGTCAATTCCATTATGCATTGCATAAATGTATCAATCAACTCTATATTTTTATTGTAAGTGTTCTAAATCAGATTTTAAATGTTGACACATTTTCACACTTCTCTAGATTCTTAACGTGAAGATTATTTCAAAAATCTGCAAAAGATACAGAAATTTAATTATCTTTTTCATTATAATATTCGCCATTATCGTTATTATTGTTATTATTATTATTATTAATTAGATTATTAATTAGATAAG